GGACACTCTATTTTTTTTTGGTCAGTTGTGGGACTTGAACTCTATGCCTGGGCACTGTCCCTCAGCTCTTCAGCTTGAGGCAAGCACTCTACCACTTGAGCCACAGTACCACTTCTGGTTTTCTGGTGGTTTATTGGAGATTAAAGTCTCAGGGACTTTCCTGCCCAGGCTTGATCTCAGCCACATGTGTAGCGAGAATTATAGGCGTGAGCCACTGGCACCAGGTGACACTCTATTACATTTGTATGTCAGGTAAACAGTAATATTTTTGCATGCATATGTCTCCTTCATATGTCTGAGTGTCATCCATTTTCCATGCCAATTACATGGGAACTTCCAAAGCCAGGACCACTGCTGAAGCAAAGCCTCCACAGTGGCATATCTCCCCATGCTCTGAAGGGCCTCTGCTTGGTCTATGGCTCTGCTGTCCTCACCTTGAAATCCTGAATAATTTTTGAAAGATTTTGATCAGTCCATTTTCATTTCTCCCCGAGCTCTCAGTTATGTAGCTGGTCCTTTTCAGGGTTCCTTGGGACAGAATTAGCCCCTTGTACTGTAAGTACTGTCAATTCTAGTGGCCCCCACATTGTACAAACCTGAGTGAGGCCCCAACACCCAGCCCATCCTTGTTGCAGAGTAATTATCTGCTGGGTTTTCCTTAGGACTCCTGATTTTTCTATTCCAGTCAGCTCTAATGTTGCTGCTTTGGCAGCAAATACTCCTTGTTAGGCTTTTAAATCCATATATCACTATGCCCGCATAAATCAGCAAAATACTTAGTGTGCAAAAACGTTGGCTTTGTCATGGATGCCTTGAAAAGTGACTGGACCTAAAAAATAACATTTATTGGTGTTACATAATGGGTGTTGCATGATGCATATGATATTTATTATAACTGTGTCTCTGATGTCATATTCCTCACTATTGTTCAGACTCACAGTTTTCAAATGTGGGCTACAGAATAGCTTGATTCCAACTGTAGACAGGGTGTTTTAGAAAAGAAAAGAAAAAGAAAAAAGAAATGATGAGGAGAGGGAGAGGAGACAAAACAAAAGAAAGCCAAGAATGGTGTCAGACTGCTTGCTCAGTCAGCCTGAGTTTCCAGGCATGAATAGGCAGGTGCTTTATCACTAAGCCATGCTCCCAGCTCTTTTATGGCTTGTTTATATAAGGTCTCACTTCCTGTCCATACCCTCACCTGGGCAGTGCCTCTTTCAGGCTTCCAGTCATAGCTATGATGACAGGCACATGCCACTAGACCCAGCTCTCAGTTGGGAAGGAGTGTCCTGAACTTTTCTATGCCAACTAGCCTCAACCCACTCCCAGTCTTAGCCTCCCATGTAGGCTAGAATTACAGGCATAAACCATTAGTACCTAGCTGATAATCATTTTTATAATTGAGATCAGTTTGGGGGGGAGTATCTAGATGATAGCTAGAGAGAATTTCTTGGTATTGCTTTTGCAACTACTCTTTTTTTTTTGGGGGGGGGTGTCCGGTTGTGGGGCCTGAACTCTGGGCCTGGGCGCTGTCCCTCAGCTCTTCAGCTCAATGCTAGCACTCTACCACTTGAACCACAGCGCCACTTCCAGCTTTTTTCTTTTTGCTTATGTGGTGCTGAGAAATCAAACCCAGGGCCTCATGCATGCAAGGCAAGCACTCTACCACTGAGCCACCTTCCCAGCCCCCTGCAACTACTCTTGAATAAATACTTGTAAATAGAAAGTTCAAAAACAACATTGGTGGTAGGAGAGCACCTGTAATCCCAGCACTTGAGAAATTGAAGCAGATAGATTGCCAGTTCAAGGCTGGCCCAGTTTGCATAGCAAGATTCATCTAAAACAATTGAAAATCACACATGTCTATGAAACAACATATTGTACTTAAGAAAATGTCTATGCAGTGGAAACAAACCCAACAGCTACCTTTCCTAGGAAGTTATCCAAATAAAGAATTGTATCTAAAGTATGTGACACCCAAATCTCACAGTAGCTGATAGCTTCAATTCCTTAATCTTTTACCACGAGGACATCAGTAGAAAAAATAACCTCATTTTTTAAAAAGTCATGTTGATTCATGACCCAGAAAACGAGTGACACTTCTAAATGCTTCTGTGCTATTAGCCAGAACCCAATTTCTCCCTATTTTAAGTTTAGCACAATTATTATATCATTCTAATTTTAATTCTAGCTAGGGTGATTTAATTTTCCCAATTTAAGTTCCTTAGATCAGAAAGGCTGACGTAGTGGCAAAGTTAAAGGGAGTTGTTAAAGGACTGAATATTCTGGATACATTGTAAACAGGAAGAGAACCTTACTAATTCAAGAATGACTGCCCCATCCCCTAAGCCTGTCATACAGTTAGATGGCACAAGGGTAAACACCCCTGCCCACCTGGCACCTACATTTCAGGAAGTAGAAGAACCATATATCAGCCAACATGTTCTGTTCTATGTCATCATATTATAGTAGAAAATAAAGCAAGGGACAACTATGGAGCAAAAGCAGTTGTTTAAATGTTGGAATGCTGTTACTTGTGTAGCTAGAGGGAGATAGAATTAGAGCCAGAATGAATGAATAGATTAGCAAAAACAAGATAATGAGAATGCTAATCTTGGGGATGTATTTGTGAAACGACTGCTGTTCTATTTTAGTTTTAATTCAGAGGTTAGGTCATGTTCTCCATTCTTAGTAGTGTTTGGACTTCATACTTATTTTATATAGCAGTGACTGTCATAAAGGTGTTCCTGTTCTTTGATCCATCCCAGCTGAAGACATAATTTCCAAAATTCAAGGTAGTACTTCAAAGACACCAAAGGAAAATAATTTATAATGAGAACGAAATCAGCTAGTTGGGGGGTTGCAGTCTGTAATCTCATCTGTTCCAGTGGTACAGATCAGTAAGATTGTGGTTTGAAACCAGTCCCAACAAAATGTTAGCTCTAAACTCAACAAAATGGTGCATGAGAGGAGTACAGGCCTGTGTTTCCAGCAGTGAGGGAAGTAAAAGTAGGAAGATCACAGGCAAGGACTACAAACCTGACAGCTCACCTGAAAAAAGCAATAAAAGCCCTGAGGTTAAGTAGTAAGCAGAGCAGGAGACTCACAAACGCAAGAACCCAAGTTCAAACTGAGGGTGGGTGAGGAATGTAGTCTAGTGGTAAGGACACTTACCTAGTATGTATTACTCCCTAGGTTTGATCCTCAGCACCAAAAATTTAAAATAAATAAGCTCTAGCACCACCACCCAAAAACATCACTATATGACATACCAGTGCCTGCATCTCTACATAGTATCAACATGGCAGCTTCAAATGCAGACTGAGGGCCAAGCTTAAGGACCAATTGAGATCAATTGGGAACAGTGCTGGTTACCATGGCAATGGAAAAGGAGAGAAAGTCTGAGTCCTGGATACTGGCCTAAAACATCTCTTGCTGAAAGTGGAGTTTGAGGGCTTAGTCCCTCCACAGTCTGAGACTGTGTAATCTGATGTGGTAGCTTTGGGCAGATGAGTCAGGCTCTGGAGTAGCACACATAAATTTTATCACTTAGCCTTCGACAGAACACTAGGTGTCACACATGGTCTTTCATTGGTTAAACTATCCCTGCATCACACATCAGTGGCTTAGCCCATTAATGCCAACAAAACTCCCTCAGGTAAGGATGCCTTGATAAAGTTTTTAGTCTTCTCCCATGACCTGAATAACCCTTATTACCAAGAGAGGTATTCAATCAAGCCCATAGTATTTATTCTCAAGTAATGAAAACAGAACAATGCTATTTGAGTGAACATTTTGACCTCTAGGTTATCAAGAAAGAATAAAACCAGAAGCACCCTAAATATCCTACTGAATGAGAATGTTTAATTATGATTTAACACAGAGTATTATGAAGTCACAAAACAGATAAAGAAAATGCTGTATAACAATGCAAACTAAAAATATCACTTGTGATATACTACTGGTGAATGAAAGCATATAGATCACTTTATATGACATATAAAAACATGTGGTCAAAGCATGAACTAATTCAGCATTGATACTCACTAGACACTATATTGGAAATGAACTATACAATTTGTTGCGGGAGAGAGGTTGGGAGGGAAAAAACTGGGAAAATGAGGGAAAGTGATAGATACTCATTACCTGACTTATGTAACTGTAACCCCACTGTATATCATCTTTACAATTTTTATAAAAATAGCCAAGGAAAAAAAAAAGCTGGAAACATGACTGAAACAATAGAATGCCTATTTAGCAACTGAAAAGTCCTGAGTTTGAAACCCAGTGCTGCCAAAAATAAAATCCAAGTCATGCAAAGAAAAAATATATATGTGAAGTGACATAAAGAAATTGTTCATTGAAAGGTAACAATGTGTTTCGATTAGTAACAGTCACCTTGAAATTTAGTGTAGCAAAGACCACAGTAATTTTGGGATCTTATAATTCTGTAGGCCAGCTGTTTGGGCTGGTTCATATGGTGTGGTGTTTCTGCTCTTGCTTGGGTTTATTAATGTGGGGACTCCACAGAGTTATGTTGGTCCAACCATGGCCTCACTCACATGTCTAGTACCTATTGTTGCAAACTATCCACTATGCTTTATTTGCACATTCCCCAAAGCCTGATCACCCAGAGAACATCAAAGGCATGAAGAAAACAGACATCTGCCATCTGGTTCATGGGAGGCAAGTAGGGTTAACTAACTAGGGTCACTTGCCTAGTGTAAGTTAAATAATTAGTCTCAGGGCCAGTGCCAGGGGCTGCACAGACAAGGGAAGAGAGAGCAGCACACAGTGAGGAGTCAGCCCCAGGGAGGGAAGGCTAGAGGGGTAGGGTAAGTACCATATGTTTGCCATAGGCAAAGGGGGCCCCAGGAAGGACAGAATCTCATATTTCATTCTTCCTAGGAGGTAGCAATAGACCTTAACTACCTTACAGCAGTTAACTACACTGGTATTTTTTACATTCTGAGACATGGCTGATGCATGATAAATGTTCACAGGTTGTGGCCCAGGAACTATTGGCTCAATACACCAAGCGGTATAAAGAAAAACGGCTCTTTGCTCTGCTTCAGAGCTGGGTGGCACCTGCTGTGGACCAGCTGAGAACCAGGTATGCTTTGCCCAAGATGTCATTATTACCTACCTTCAGTATTATCTCTGTGTGTGTGTGTGTGTGTGTGTGTGTGTGTGTGTGTGAAGCATCAGTGCTGGATATTGAACTCAATTTTTTTCTCCAAGAATTGCACTATACCACTTGAGCTGTGCCTCCAGTTCTGGCTTTTTACTGGTTAATTGAAGAAAAGAGTCTCTTGAATTTGTCTGCCTGAGCTGCCTTTGAACCTTGATCCTCAGATCTCAACTTCTTGAGTAGCTAGAATAACTGGTATGAACCTCTGGCAGTGTGTGGCCTAGGGTCTTCTTAAGCATAAGTTTACAAAGCCTTGGCATGGCATTTTTTATTATATATATATATATATATATATATATATATATATATATATATATATATATATATAGAATCTGTAGAAACACCTATCATGTAACTTTTTTAAATTTAATTTAATTTTACTTTATTTGTGAACATACTGTACAGAGGGGTTACAATTACATGGGCAGGATAATGCTACATTTCTTACCAAGCATTGCAGCCTCCTCCTTTGTTTACCCTTCACATCCCTTCCCAGCCTCCCTCTTACCCCCAATCCTCCCCCCACCCCGCACCGACGTTGTACGTTGTAAAGCTCGTTTTTGACATGACAACTTGTACTTCTCATTGTTGCAACAGGTCCACCTGTATCCTTAAATGACTTGTTTTTCCCCCTCTCCTCCCCAAGTTATACTGACATCAAATATAGTGAAAGCAGGGGTTATACTGTGGGGGAGGGACATACAAAGCAACAAAGAAATAATCTTATAAATGTGTTAGAAACACATGCACCTATCATGTAACTTAAGAACTAACACACTGATGAATTTCTTCTTTCTCCTGTGTTCTTTGCTACATGTTCACTGTTCTAAACACTTCACAGTTATTAATCCTGAGATAGGTTTTTATTTCCAGTTGCATATGAGGAAACTGAGAATCAGAATTCACTATTTTGCTCAAGGTTACATGGTTCCTGAATGACAGAGCTGAGATTTGACCCTAGATAGTTTATCTTCAGGATCCATACTCTGGTTATTTTGTGTTCATAGGAGGAATCCTGCAACATGTGTTTTCACTATTTTATTTCTAGGGTTTATCTAAGTCATTATACATAGTTGTGAAGCTTCTTTGCAATATCACATAATTTTCCATCATGTGCCTATGATTCAATCTGTTTATCCGTTCTAATCTCCAATATCAATCACTAGACACCTGAGTTATATCCAGTGTGTTATTTTATCTTTTTGGTGACAGAATCAGGGCTTGAACTCAGGTCCTTGTACTTTCACTCAGCTTACCTCTTTGTAGCTGGTACTCTACCACTTGAGCCACCCTCTATCTTGTTTTTTTTGTTACATAATTGAAGATGGAGTGTTAGTTTCTTTCCCAGACTGGCTTCAAATTGAGATTCCCACAAATCTCATCCTCGTGAGTAGCTAAAATTACAGACATGGGCCGTTAGCACCCAACTTAGTGTTTTACTAGTCTGCACAAAGCTGTAACAAAAAAATCAGGTTTATGTTTTCTGGGGAATGTGGAGTCTTTTTTGCAGGGCTTTCAAACTTGGTTGACATTACTCAGGATATTTTACAATATTGTAGACATTCACAGAGCTCTCCACCTTGGGGAGCAACATGTGTGTGTGTATTGTGTATGTGTGTGTGTGAGAGAGAGAGAGAGAGAGAGACAGACAGACAGAGACAGAGAGAGAGATTGAGAGAGAGAGAGAGAAAGAGAGAGAGAGTCTGTTGGTCCTGGGCATTTATCCAGTGGAACACAAACCAAGCTACATTAAAGATACCAGCACAACCATGTTTATTGCAGCATTGTATACCATAGCCAAGATATAGAATCAACCCAGATGCCCCTCAGTGGATGAATGGATCAGAAAAATGTGGTGTATATACACAATGGAATTCTACTCATCCATCAGAAAGGAATATATTGTATTGTTTTTTTGTCGGTCATGGGGCTTGAACTCTGGGCTTGGGCACTGTCCTTGCACTCTTCAGCTCAAGACAAGCTCTCTACTGCTTGAGCCACAGTGTCACTTCCGGTTTTCTAGTGGTTTATTGGATGTAAGAATCTCATGGACTTTCCTGCCCAGGCTGGCTTTGAACCATGATCCTCAAATCTCAGCCTCGTGAGTAGCTAAGATTACAGGCATGAGCCACCAGCGCCTGGCATATTGTATCATTTTTAAAGAAATGGAAAGACTGGGGAAAATAGTATTAAGCAAAGTAAGCCAGAGCCAAAGAAACATAGGTTGCATGGTTTCCCTTATTTGTGGTAATTAAAATATACTTACAAATCTATAAGTAAACACACTAAATGATTAAAATACACAAACATACACACTGGGGGATGAGAAATTATATAAGACTTTTAATTTTATTTCTTAAGTATATTGATCACCATTTTTTAAACTGGCTTCATGGCCCATAAGTATTTTGCAATCTGTTGACTGAAAACTGAATCTCGCCAGGCTGGCTTGGGCATAAAGCTAGACTCTACCTCAAAAGTAGCCAAGGCAAAAAGGCTAGAGGTGTGAGTTTGAGACCCAGTGCCACCAAAAAAAAATAATAACAATACATGATTAGCCACAAACTTTTAAAGGAGAGCACAACATCTATAACAACAAAGGATGAAGAACCCTTGAAATTATTAGTGTAAGACACACAAAAACAAAAATAGAAATCTGGGATCCTGTGGCTCACATCTGTAATCCTAGCTATTCAGGAGGCTGAGATTTATGTCATTGTGAAGGTGAGTTGCTCTATTATAGAGTATGCCATTGTCCAACCTTACTACCTAGTGCTGAAGTATTCTTCAAAGTAGTGGAACCACGCCTGTCCAAGTGTTGGAAGATGCCAGCCACCACCACTAGCAGACAGGCATCCTGCAGAGCCGCAACTGTGTCCTGCTCTCACCAGCACTTGCTGCTACCGACTTCTTAAATGTTATCAACACACAAAAGCGATCTCCTACTCAGATTTAAACTATATTTTCCTTATTACTATTAAAGGCGAAAATGGTTTCATCCATTTGTTAGCCATTTGTATTTCTTATGTAGTGAAATTGGGGGTTTGCCTCTCCCACTTTTTGTGCCAGTACTGGGGCTTGAACTCTGGGCCTGGGCACTGTTCTGTAGTGTTTTTTCTCAGGCTGGTGCTCTACCACTTGAGTCACACTGCCACTTCAGGCATTTTGCTGGCTAATTAGAGATAAGAATATCTTGAATTTGTCTGCCCAGGCTAGATCTGAACCATGAGATCAGTGCCTCATCCTTGAAATCCCAGTTTCTTGGGAGGCAGAAATAAGAGGATTGTGATTCAAGGCCAACTCTGGCAAAAAAAAAAAAAGTTAGTGGGGCAACAAACTAGCCGAATGTGGTAGTTCACACATGTAATCTCAGTTATGTAGGCAGCCTGGGCAGGAAGATCAAAGTCCAAGGCCTATGTGTACAAAATGTATATGACCTTATTTGAAAAATAACTGAAGCCAAAAGGTCTGCCTGGCAAGCATGAGGTTGTAAGTTCAAATCCACTACCACCAAAAACAACAACAACAAAAAAAACACCACCCTTGTAGAAAGTAGCAAAGATGAAAGTGGGTACCAAGGGCAAAGGTGAGGAGAGGTTGCATAGTTATTGTTTAATGGGTTCAGGATTTCATTCTGAGATGATGAAAAGGTTCTGGAAGTGGATGCTGGGGAAAGATCCCAGCCATGTGAACAAGAGTGTTCAACTCTCCTGGCACACGTAAACACTTTGCATTTTCATTCTGTATTATCGTCTACATTTTTCTGTGTATGGTTAGTTGGAGATCATATACTTCTTGTTTTCTGTGCTTACACTTCTGTGACCTAGGTGTATGTCAGTGGTTCTGGTTTCATAGAGCTACATTGGTATCTTATCTGGTGGAAGAATTCTGTAAATTATCTGAAAATGGTTGGGGCTTGGGAAAGAAATTTAAACTATTGATTTTTTAAGGACTAGTCTCTTTTTTGTATCAGTTTGTAAGTTGTATTTGTCTAAGAATTTATCCTGGTCCTTTGGAGCTTTTTCACCACTTTTTATCTTTTGCTTTGAGGGCGGGGGAGCAGATGGAATGATGGAATCAGGGTCTCACTATATAACCCACAAACTCAGGATCCTCCTGCCTTTGCCTCCACAGTGCTGGGATTACAAGCATGTTCCACTGTGCCCAGCTTCTATTTATATATCTTTTTAACTTCCTTGGATCTGTGTTTATGTCCCCTTTGTCCTTCTAAAATTTCCTTCTGTGCCATCTCCTTTCTTGTTTGCCACTGCTCAGTCTCACATGACATTGATTATATTTTCTAAACAATCAACTTTTCACTTCATTGGTCTCTGTTGTACCGAGATGATTTCCCTTTCATTGTTTTAGGTAGGCCAACAGCCGTATCACCTTGCTCATGCTAGAAAGAGTTTACAGTGGTTTTTTTGTATGTATTTTTATAATTACTGTATCCATTAGTCTTCATAACCCAAAAGTATTGAACTAATTGCCAAAAGAACTACTCTAGGAAATATTATCTCCCTGTCCTGAGTTTTTGAAACATGGAAAATACAATAAATAAATGATGGAATAGGACATTTCATATCCAGAGGGATGGAGAGAAAATTAAGAGCCTAAAGTCTAGCTTTTTCTCACTTTTCATTGTTGCTCTCAAATTTCTATTTGTTCATATTGTACCTGGAGCTTAGAATATCATAAGCTTCCCCCATCCCAGGGCTCTTTAGCTGACGGTTCTCTTGATTTTGATGTCTCTATTTGTCCTCATACCTTATAGAAAACTAGGGCAGCTTTTTAATATTTCAATACCTGACTGGGAATTTTATAGGGCTAAAACTGTTCCCTCCAACTTATTAGCTTGAAAGATTTCCAACGTACAAGGAGTTGAAAGAATTGTATGTTCCCCCCAGTGGCCTCAATTCCAT